AACTAACTACTTGAAATAAAAAAACCAAATAAATTAAGTTTCCTTTCCACATGATCTGCAAGAAAGTCTACCCATTCTTTGATGCTGAGGATACTTATCTAATCCAGATTAAGACCTTGGCGAGATAGGTTAACCGACCTAACCTTGAGGATAGTACGCGTGAGTTCGAAGTGGGATAGAGAGAAGAAAACTATTCTATCACCTGATTGGCTGACAAGCACGCGAACGAGAGAAGACAGGACAAATGGAAAACTACTCGATCTATTCCTGATAACCTGATTTCAGTTCAGTTCGGATTAGTGCAAAAAGGTACATGAATAAATAGGTGATTTACCCGACCACAACGTACAACAATTTGGAAAAATAAAGTTATATCCAAAGCTGGGAATTAGAGTAGAAAATAGAGTACAAAATATTATGTTTAAATTACAATAGCTTTGGAACAGAAAAGGGTATGGTAATGAATCATACATCGAACGAAAGTTAGATTAGGGACAAAAATAAATGTCCGTGTTTTACAAGTTTTGAATAAAATGGAATAACGTCCCAAAAAAATAGCTTTCGTAGTTTGTCACGGCTTCTTGTTTTCCTGTTCACAACAAAAGTTAATATCATTCTTCATCTTAATGTCTATCAACAACAAGTCGTATCATAATATGCTTTATATAACAGGCAAATCAACATTATCTATAAATATCAATGTTAAACCTTCATTATTGAAATAAATCTTAACCCATTAACACTGTATTTTATGATCAAACTAAACAGAATCTTTGTGTGAAATTTATCTATTTACATTAGCTACAAAGCATCTTACATCATAGTTGATTTGATTTCGTCAAGATAAATCTTAACCTAAACCCTTAATTCTAAAGTTAACTACCTAATCCTTATCAAGAACAATGTGAGAACTATTATTAATCTATCTAGGTTTTGTAATTGTGAATAATCCATATTCTTCTGAACGAAGATAAGTGTAGGGAACAGAACACGGGTGTGAACAATCGAATGTATTTAACACACAATTACAGGACTTGTTAATAAAATCGAACAATCATAAAGTAAATGCTTAATTTGCAAAATGTCCATTGATTGTCTCAAAATGACTCAGACTTCATTGTTCTTGCATTTTCACACAAATTGCATTCTGTGTTTCCATTCTTTACTGTTCGATCCTCTTGTCTCTCTGCTGCCAGACCTTCTGTTCACGACTAACATCACATACTACTTATGTCAATATAAGTAGCATACACCACATATGTATTTCGTATTGTTTTTTTTTCGATGTACAAACAAAGCAACCTGTAGATGACTATAGTAAATTCATTCATTACGTATTTTGTTTATATTTTGTGATGTTATTGTGTTCTTCCATATAAACTAATGTACTTACAAAGCTGTTTTCATATTGGTTAGGAACTGTCATAAAATTCATTTTTATTATTTATAACTCATCTCTGTTCTATACTTTTACTGGAATTAGTTCATTTTAACAGTTACTTAACTTGGTCATTCACTGATTTATAGCATGTGTTGTAATTTTATTTATAGTCGTATATCTGAAAGGTACTTCTCCTTCGTTTGTTGTTTTGTGCCGATTATTAACTGTCGGGAAACATTTAGATTTAAATTTTGTATATATATTAGTATCAGAATGAGGATTTGTGGAGACTGAAGTAATTTTTTAATAGTTGAATTCATGAATCGATCTAAAATAGACTACCATTGAAAACCCGGAAGCACTGCACGGCTGTTTCGTCCTAGTATGGGATTCCTCAGAAGTGCAACTTCATGATCCCGCACACAGGATCAAAAAAACCTCTAGACCACTGAAACGGCACTTCTTATTGTCTTCGGTAGGCAATTGCCTTCCAGCGGATACGGATTAGCTCTCATGATCACGGATTTTCCCTAGAAATCCTGAAATTTTCTCTTGAATCTAGCCACTAGTGAGAACATGGTAGTTTTCACTTTGGGGTTTTTCAGTCTCATACTAGAACGATTATCATTATAAAAAGTGGGAACTTATTTTCTTTTATAGATTTCCAGTTTTTTTCATACATTTTCATATTGTTAGCCATATCTTCTATCGGAGTTGAGAAGAATAGAAATTTGTCTGTTCTATCGGTAAAGATCCCTCTGTTTGTAAGATGGTAGTTGGAGGTAGTCAACACGAAATCCTGAGACTTAGATTTTATGCTATTCGGTGCTCATTACCAAGGTGAGGTAACTGATACTCCCTGACTGATTCGATCCCGTTCCACTCAGCTTCACAGACACAGACAGTACCATTGAGCTAGTGAGACAGTGACTGACCTCTTGTAGTACAGAGGTGTATTGCACAACTTATTGGTCACTATGTAGTGACTACCATCATGTCATCTGCTTACGTCTTAACATTGTACATGTGATTCCGAGTCACGTAGACTAATGACTACATTTCAACTTGATAGACAGGACTTGATCAACAGTAAGAAAGGATTTACATACAAGATATTAGTCATCTTTCAATGATCAATGAATTATCCAAGAAGATCTCTCAGTTTATTCAGTTCATTTTTCAGACGGTTTACAAACATAGCTGGTATCATATAATATGGTAGATAATTTCACTCGCTAAAGATTATATGGATATTGGTAGTCACCAGTAAGTCCTTTTATACTTACTTACTTACTCCTGTTACACCTCGTCGAGGAGCATAGATCACTCAACAAAATTCTCCATCAAAATCTATCTTGGACAATCCTTTCCAGTTGGTTCCAGTTGATATTCATCCTCTTCATATCTTTTCTCGATTCCCAAAGAAATGTTTTATGAAGTCGTCCACTTTTTGTTTTCTTTTCACGATTCCAACTTAACGATTGTTTCATGATGCCGTTTGATGCTTTACACAACATATGTACACAGTAAGCTGTTGCTAATGGTATCCGTCCAACAGACATTCAGTATGTTGAGTTTAGTTATCCTATCAATACATAAAACTTTGAGATTTCTGAGATCAACTTGTTTGCTCTTTCTTAACCATTCCACAGTCGTGTTTTAAATAGAATCTGACTGTGCATATAAAAATGTTGGAGGTTTTAACGAGAAAAAACCGTTTAATTGATAACTCAAGAAGTTATATATTATAATCAGAAGGGGATTTTGTGACGATAGTAGTAACTTAATAGTAGAGTTCATGAGTCAATTAAAGCTAGATCACCATGGGAAACCTGGAATCAGTGAACGACCATTTTGTCCTAGTATGGCACTAATCAGCAATATGCATCCTAAAGTGACTGACTTCAAGAGATATTTACTAGAGTTCGAATGATAAATTATGACCAGTGGAATTCAACCGTATCTGAAAACAATAGTGGATGGTGGTGCAATTTCGTGGATAGGTTGGAGTTAGATACTAACACCGCTAGTTGCTGACTCAGAAGTCTACAGATTGAGGGCGAGACCGATAGGTCATGAATCCTGATCCCCCAGGCGCGATCGTGGATGCACATTTCTGAGTATTGATAGGATAACTAAACTCAAGGTACTCAATGTCTGTTGAACGGATTATTATTATATTTATTATTATTTTAACACATAGATATCGGTACAAGGAGACACCGAATACATATGCGCCACACAAATATCATTCGATATGTGTGAGGGCTGTAATACTGCCCGGGTGCCCAGACCGAAGCAGGTGGTTTTCTTAGGGGGACATTCCCCGAGCCTTCGACCTGAAGGTCTGATCCATAAGGCAGTGGAGCATCGTAAGGAGATGCAGTCCCATGGAAGCCGGTGACCAATAATTAGTTCATACGCCATTCGTTCCCGCAGGATACTGGAGCCCATGTGCACCATTGGTTTGGAATCCGGTTAAAGCGCCGGACATTCGCTTTTCGTCCTCTCATTTTCGTAAACAACACCCCCGCCACGAGAAGACAATGAGTAGGACTTCCCTGGCAGAGGCATTATACGCGTGGCCATGTGAGAGCATTTCGAGAGGGAGAGTGGACTCTCCCCACTCTCGGCCGTACCAGGGCATTTGGGGGCAAATAGGAACGGATACCATTAGCAACAGCTTACTGTGTACATATTTTGCGTAGAGCATCAAACCGCATCATGAAACAAGCGTTAAGTTGGAATCGTGAAAGGAAAACAAAAAGTGGAAGACTTCAGAATACATTTCTTTGGGAATCGGAAATAGATATGAAAAGGATGAATATCAACTGGAACTAACTGGAAAGGATTGTCCAGGATAGAGTTTGATGGAGAATTTTGTTGAGTGATCTATACTCCTCGACGAGATATAATAGAAGTTTAATTATTAAATTATCTTCCTCCTATGTATATTCATTTTTAAAAAAATATGAATGTTACCAATTATATTTAAAATATTGTGTTCATTATAATTTGTCCTTATTACAAATTTCGTGTACTAGTCGAAAGTTCACTGAAGTTATCAGATTGTATATTACGTTAAGTAGTTCGTTCGTTCGTTAGTTAGTTAGTTACTATTTCAACTGTTAGAACATTGAAGTAACCTCATTATTGTTGTTGTCTGTAATAAAAAAAAACTTTTTTTGTACATAATTTAATGGATAAACTTTCTGTTTTGTATCATAGTGAAACCGTTTTTTTTTTAAATATTTATTTATTATAAATAATAAGTAAGATGATTATAACCTTGGTGATTAGTTCGTTTTATATGGTTATTTGTTTCAATTATCTGATCGAATACATATATGTAACAATATAGTAGGATAATATACAACTATATTAGTAAATGTATTTTAATGTTACTGAGTGAATTTACTTAAATGACTATGATATTATATATATTACATACTATAACTATGGTAACTTTTAACTTTCCTTAAACAAGTGAACTGATACTATCACAGTAAAGACCATATATATATATATATATATATATATATATATATATATATATATATATATATATATATAAACCGAAAAGAAAAGAAAAACCTATACACAAAGAATAATGTTTAACATGGATCTTTATACTAACTGGACAGAATTTACATCACCTTGGGATTTATTAATTGATTGTATATTATTAAATGAAGGATATTCAAATGCTAGTAATACAGTATGTATAGTATCTACAGTATTTGGTGTATTAATGGGTTATATCTTTCCATTTATTGGTTTATTTAATATTATAAGTAATTGTATGATTATTATTATATTTTTTAATTCAATGATTAATTATAATAAACAATTTATATTATTAGGTATATTATCTATAACAGATATTGGAATTATTCTATTTGTTGGTTGGTTACGATTATTTCCAACATTTGGTTTACCATATATGACATCTGGAACAATTTATTATTTTATATTAACAAGATCTTCTTTAAGTTGTAAATTATTTACATTTTTTCAAGGATTTTTTTGTACTTTAAGAGGGAATCTATTTATATTATTAGCAATTGATCGTTTCATATTAATCTATAAACCATTAATTTATAATAAATTATCTAATCAATATAATTGGTTATTAATATTGATTATTATTATAATAACAATCATTATAGTATTACCATTAACAATATTAGCTGATATTATAGAAATACGTCAATTAACTGTATGTTGGTTTTTAGATAATACTAATTATTTATTAATTCATCAAGCATTATTATCAAATACATGTCCAATACAATTAACCTTAGTAACATTAGTTGATTTATTTTTTTTAATTAAAGTAATTAAATGGACACGTAATTTACAACGAGTAGGTCATTCAACACCAACATCAACATCGACAACAACAACTAATAAAGTCAATATCTCATTGATTGTTACTATGCTTATATTACAAATTGTAGCCTTTTTATTTTCATTACCTAATAGTATTGTTTATTTAATATCATTAACTATTGATTTTCAATTAATTAGTTCAGATATTGTACGTTTATTAGTAATTACTAGTAATATGTCATGGAATTTAATATTTTTTCAATCATCATTTAATATATTTATTTATTATTATCGTATACGTAAATTTAATCAATTATTAAAACAATGGATTATATATTGTCAATGTAATCGTCATAAATCAATTCAACAAAATAGTTCAGTAATGAATCGTTAATAAAAAAAAAAAAAAGAAGAAAAAAACGAAAAAGAAAAATTTTTTTGTTTTTTTCTTCAGTTTCATTGAATTTATGTTGTCAAGTAGAAATCGGATCATAAATGATAAAAAAGAAACAATGACAATATTGATCTAGAAGGAATCATTATTAGAATTGTAGAATTTTTCTTTGTTTTTTCAATATTTATTTCATAATAAATTATTGATAACTATAAGTAGTATGTTAAATGATTGTTGAAAAGAATTCAATTGAATTGAACATTGATAAATCTATGATCGTATACGTTAGTGAATTACATAATCATTTTTGTTTAAAGAAGTGATTGTAATTTACATTTAGTTTTGTGAATCTTTCTTCTGTTTTTTTTAAAAATATAGACTTAGTACTAGAATATTCTCGGTTTTATTTATTTCTCAATAATAATAATAATAATAATAATAATAATAATAATAATAATAGTGAAAATGATGCTATTTACAATTATAAGGCTGGTAAGAGAGTAGTATTTAAGATGGTGGAGAAGATTTGTAACTTAAGTGGATGATTTTGATGAAGCTTTGTTCTCTGAGCTGGATGATTTGATCGTGGAGCTTTCATCATTCTTCTGAACGACATCATCAGCACAAACTTCGGATGGAGGTGAAATGTTTGAATTTCTCCATATGCGTTTCACAGCTTGTTCTGTACACCTCGATGTTGATTGGTTCTTATTGGATATGCACATTGAAATTAGTCCAATTTATCAACCAATCAGAAAAATCATGCACAAACAAGAACAAAAATCCAACCAATGGGAGACACAACCAAAACAATAAAGTAAACAATGACAAATTTAAGGTCAATAAAAAATAATCAACGTCGAGGTGTACAGAACAAGCTGTGAAATGCATATGGAGGAATTCGAACATTTCACTTCTATCTGAAGTTTGTGCTGATGGTGTCGTTCAGAAGAATTATGAAAGCTCCACGATCAAATCATCCAGCTCAGAGAACAAAACTCTATCAAAAAGAGAGTAGTATTTCAGGATAAAATGAAAAAAATACACTATCAATTTCTTTGTTATTTTCACGTTTTTGTTTACAAGATATATATATTATATCCCTATGAGAATAATGAATAATGACCATCAGAACCTATTTCTGGACTAATACTATGCGTATATTTTTATCGTATAATTGTTAAATAACTAAACTATACATATTCATGTCCCTCTTATTACGAGCTTTATATTGACCTATGAACTATTATTATACGATTTAGCATTCTTGAGTTATGCCTAGTCTACTAATTGCAGTCTCCCACATTTACAGCCACTTTTGGCTAGATCTAATACAAATGTCATTCTCTATTGTATGGTACGACGTGGTCTGTCTGGTTTGTACATAAACCCAGTATGTTTGAGATAAATGATTCATATTGCAGAGGCTGAGACTGATGTTCTGGATTTAACAGGCTGGGCTAGGCAGGAAGAAGGACGGATAAGGACTCTAGAATGCTCGTACAGGTTTATGCGTCATTGGTCCGGTCGGTAAGTCACTGTTCTCTAATTGGCGGTATCATTACGTTGTACATTAGTAGGACACAGGGCACAAGTTATAATATTATATATATCACAAAGGGGGTTTTATGGATATTGTAGGAATTTAATAGTTGAATGCATGAGCTGATTAAAGCTAGGCCACCATGGAAAATCTGGGATCACTTGAATTTGAAGAACTATTGTAATCATCATCAAAAATCCACAAGTATTTGTAAATATTTATCTGGGAATGATACTACAAAACCGACATCACTGTAACGAATAACTCTTGATAACAACTCTAAAGGAGAACACAGAATAGAGTAATTTGTAGAACCTGATCGGTGACCTATACACCTCTAGGGGTAACACGTGTAAGCAACAAGTAACGCTATTGTTGTGCACACATATTGTTTACAGTATCATTCTTTTTTCATTATCTATTCCATGCGGTTAAGTTAAATAAACTATGAATTTGTTGTTCGCTTAAAAGAAATGGTTTGTTATCGAATTTTCTCTTTCAAAATTCCTTGTTCTTTCCTAAAAGCGATCATCTGTAAGTGCTGCAATTATCATAATTGCTTAGTTTGATGATAATTAAGAAACGCGTTCGGTATTGTACAACTCCTAATTGAATCCACTTGAATGACAACTGATGAATGGAGTTCAAAACCTTATTACTTCGTACGCACACACTAACAATCATGTTACTGATAACGGAATAAAGTGTTTAACGTACGGAAAGTATTTAGAATACGTGAATTTCATGCATTCTAGTATCAATCACAAGACAGAAAACAAAAGATGAAGTTGTAGTAGCTGTGCTCCGTTAACCAATCACCCTCGTAACCGTTATCATTTAATCATCAACGGTGTTTGAAATCAGAAGGCAATGAGAAGCAGCGACTACAGTTATATTAGTAGATAACTCAGACCAAAAAGCAATGAAGCGAATGAGTGAATTCGCCAGTCGAGAGTGTAGACTGTTAAATGTACATGTATACATATAGGGAAATGAATGGATCATCGAATCAATTAAGCAGTTAGTAATAAAGCTAGCATAATGGTTATATGTGAAGGCAGTAAGAAATGATCAAGCATACATATTCATGCAAGCGCAACAATAATAAAGGTACAATGATATAGATAAGTTGTTATTGTACGAATGACTCAGTCCGTTAAATAAGTTAACAAAAGGACTTAACCGAATTAAATGTGAACAAATTCAATTGCATGTGAGTTGCTATAAAGTAAGTAGATAAGGTGTTGGTGTTGATACACACTGATTATAACACAAATAATACGTTGAAAATCCCTGCAGAGTATTTTACTGTACAGTAGTGCGATTTCTCCGTTATTTCGTCTCGACTTTTATTTTAACTTCTGCTTAGGTCCTTTGTAACCACGCCTTAAGTTCTTCAGTCCTCTTCGTCTTGACCTTTGCCATTTGACTTTCGTTAAGTTTCACCTTTATTATTTAATTTTATTGTTTTATGGTGTCGTGTTCGACCAAACTCAATATTAAGGTATGGAGTGGTAGATTCTCGTTAACCCACGAATACTTGTTGGAAACAGTTATTTGAACCATTGCAGACAAGTATTTAATCCAACATTGTTGAGAATACCCTTACTGACTCTCGAGTACCGAACACTCGTTTCTCAATCATTCCTTTTGGTGCTTAGCAAGTTACTTCGCATCAAAGTAACATTTGACTATATAGCGCGACCTATAACATTTAGGGCATTCCTCACTTCAGATATAATTTTGTTTTTTCCTAAATTAAAATCGATTAAATTGAGCGCACACTTTATGTTTTGATATAATTTAATACGAGTCGCTCAAAAACGCTTTGTGTGCTACACCTAAAAATGTAGTGTGGTCTAATCGAATAAATCTTAGTTTGTTAGTTTTGTGTTCACACCAGTTATTGGCGCATTTCAGTCTATATGAATGGTTTTAAATAAGCAATTTTTAGGTCCTGTGGGATACTATACCGAATCTTTGGGTCAGTAAAATGTCAATGGGTCTTAGCTAGATCATTCAGCAGTCAGATCACTGAATATCAATTGTAATAGCGATTTCATCGTGTCAGTTATACTTTCGATTTATAGTACACAATCCTTACTTTTCACTGTACGAACCGTCAAATCTCAACCTTCTGATCAATGACGTCGTACGAAAAAAATAACGATCTCTTTTTTCCACGGTTATACTTCTGCACTTTCAGTTCATCTGCTAAATGTAGATATAACTAGAATTTGGCACTAACGAGCAGAAAACTGTCGACGACACTGACTGACTTTATAATCCAGGTCGATGACAGTACGAATATAGACATCAACAAATAATACACTGATCGTACGACAATTTTAGTATCATCACACTTGCTGTGAACTAAACGTCACTTATCTAAGGAACTCAATCACTTGTTAACTTTATCTATTTCAACACAACTTAACAGAACTTTAAAAAGTTATATTGTTCATCAATATGTCATTCTAAATTGCTTTACCTTTATCGAACTTGTAAATCATACGTCTATCGTCTGTTTGCGTACCTGAACTACAGAAATAGGCTGCGAAGTGCAATGTTGGAGGCTAGTTAGAAATCCAGCTTTCTGATCGGATGATTGTTAGGATAAACATTCAGAAGTCGGAAACGTGACTAATTCAGGCAATTAGAACAGAACGTATTAGCTATAAGGCCGTGAAAGAGCCTGATTTTTAGCCAGTGTAAACTTCTGACACTGCTCAGCTGTCCTGATGAATTACATTCTCAAGGTCGTTCAGACTCCAGTCAGTCTGTAGCAAGTCCTGTTCTTATGGAAATATGACAAATGATTCAGCAAAGAATTATAAAGCAGGTAACAAAAGTAAACACAGGTTTAGTAATTGTTCGTTCTGTAGTAAATTTCATCCATGTAGTTAATGATTTTCGGGTTATTCTTAAAGCTTATAGTGTAACAGAATCGAACACATTGGGTCGGTGTATAAAACAATTATTCGTTTCGCCGCTATTATCAATAAATTCTGTAATTCGGATCCTAATAATTCCAGTGGTTCTAATGATCATATACTATTCTTATTTACACATTTGAGTAATTCACTTCACATTCAATAATGATCATACCTGTAGTGATGCTTTTCACGATTTTATTGTTGACAATGACGGTATTAAATCTACCGTTTTAGTGGGAAAATCATAGTTAGTTAGCCTCAGTGGTATTACTAAAACTATTATAGTTTCTACTTAAAGTATTTCTGGTCAAACTTTATATTCTAGGGTGTTGTAATTTCATGATTAGGTACGATAAATCTCCATATATAGATCGTGAATTCCCCATCACTGATTGTGGACCATCTATCCTAAGTCTAGAAATGGACAATTCTCATTATTGACCACTGATGATGGTTCCAATGAAATGCTGGATAACTTCTTAACTACAGGATCGAAGTGTGACAATTCGCTTACAACTCCA